TGAAAGTCAAATACACGGCGCATTTTCTACGGGGCTATCGAAAGCTAACCGCACTCACTTCTTCTTATACTGTCTGGAAGACGTTGTAATAAGCAAAAGAGGACGCATAGCACTTTGACTTACAATATGACTTCAAGTGCACGTCATCCGCTTACTTCCACGCCAACGTTGGACGCGAATAAAACTCCGATAGACTAGTATTCAAGAGGGATAACAACTTCCTTAGGGATCTTATCATGCCGAATCCAAAACTATAGCAGCTTATGTTCATGCAACAGCGCTCAACATACATCGGAAAACGAAACAATTTGGCATCTCCCGAATTATATTCTGAGGACCAGGAAGATAAAGAATACACTGGCTAGAAGATACTCCAGGACAACAACCAATGCACAACAAAACAAATAATTTAGCACTATTCACAATACTTGCACAAAATTAATTTTCAAACTATACAGGTATAGGAATATTTGTAACAACTGTTTTCAAGATCTCTGCAGTTTGCTTCCGCCAATGTTTTGGATCCTTCGAGACAGCTACCCATAACTCACCATGTCGCGGCTCTGCGTCCTCACACTTCTTGATCACTTTTTGCTGTTCTTCCTAAAACCCATTGTGAAACCATCCACTGTGAAAATATTCTCACAAAAACCATTGCAGACTATGAATAACATGAAATAGCCTCAAACCTCAGTGCCAAGTAACAATTCAAACTTGTAGCAATGTGCATACGCGTCCCCGTTATCTGGATCTACATTAATTGCCCTTTGGAACCATTCTCGAGCCTTTTTCACCTAAAGCACAGGATTATGACCACAACTTTGAATGTAGTTATAGAAAATCAGTCAAGGGGACGTGCCTTTCTTTCAGACCAGAACAAGCGAGCGGCTGCCACAAGCACGTGCGGATTGTGCTCGCATCGCTTGAGAGCGTCCACCGATTTCGAGCGTCGACCATGTCGCTCCTCCATCCAAATTGCTTCTGCCCACAGCCGTCCTAAACACCCAACCTTGCTTTTGCTCGAACTAAATTTGAAACTGTGTCCTACCTGAACTCTCACACTCCTGCAGGGCCCTGGCCAATCGCTCAGAAGCGAGCTCACGCAAACCGGCGCGCATCTCGAGTCGCACAGATTCCAACCATAGGTCTTCATTTCGTGGATTACGGATACGAGCCTAAAAAGCCAGCATGAAATTTATAATGCAGCAGTACCCTTGCAATCGGGACCTCCAACTGATTGCCAGCGACTTGTCAAGAGAACAAAGAGATGGTCTCAAGTGATATGCTTCCAAAGTAGCCACAGGGCAGCAATTGTACACAGGCAGTTTATCTCCGACACAAATGTTCAAAAGTAGCTGGCTCAGAGTAGATGTAGGATTGTGGGCGGGGAAGAAAAAATGAGTAGAGAAGTTAACTATGGGCCGAATAAACTGTAAAATCGAGTATGGTACAAATAAGGTTCCAGAAAAATTTCTACCTTTTCCAAATCAGATCTGGCTTTGATGATTTGCTTTTGTGATTCCTCGAGACGGCTTAAAAGTATCCAAAGAGGAACAGCGCCAGGGCATCTCTTGATCTGTAGAAAATAAAGGCTGAATAAATGCAGAAAACATGAAGTTTAATTCCAACAGTGAAATAGACTCACTCCTTCAGTGAAAACCTTTCGAGCCTCCTCAGGGTTATTTTCCTGCAGAAGAATTTGTCCCAACATCATGTAGAACTTCGCGAAATCCACATACCTGGAATGGAACGTCATGATCTCGTGACTCTTTGAGTGCAAGGGGAAGGTCAACCTAGCCTTAGAGGCAGCAATGCGATAAGTCCCGATAAAACATAAGAGTAGAGGTCTTAAATGCTGCACCGGATATAAAACCAAGAGAAACGCCCGAGAGTGAATGTCCACTTGTGCCCGTGTCCGATGAGTGTTGTTGAAGAAGCTCCGTTGCTATACCTCACTGTTGGAAGCGCGCTTTCTGACGCGAACCTCTACTCTCCACTACCCGTCTCTTTCCTTTAAAGGCATCCGATTTATCGTGACTACTTCCTTCAAATCCGTGGATACCGGACTCATCAAGGAGGATAAAAACAGCGAACCACATATCTTGTGGGCCCTGCAAATCGTTGCATAGAAAAAAATCTGCTTTTGGACTGCGACCAAAAGGAGACAGTGAGTCCAAGCGGGGACGTAGAGGCGATCTATCAGCGGCGAACGCTCTGTAGTCTACTTTTCAAAGCAAACGGGATAAAAGTTCATCACTGCAGAACATTTACGCAAAGCTAAGAACCTACTTGGACAGGCCTTCCTTGATGAGCTCTTTAGCTTTGTCTAAATCGCCTAGACACCATTCAAGTCGGGCGCTCTTCATCCATATTCGCGCCGAAGGAGCGTTACGACGTGCTTTTTCGAGCAGACGACGGGCTCTTGCGAATTCATTGTTTTCAGATTCCAATTTCACGGCGGCCATCCAGATACCTTCAGAATTAGCATTATGCTCGAACGCCTGCAAAAATAGGATATTATAGCAAAACATGTTTCGAACAGCGTCACATTTTAAAGCTTCAATGGAAAAATGGGAAAATACAGGTGAAGGTGCAACACCAAGTCTGACCTTTGCTAGAATTTCTCGAGCACCGGCGACATCGCCGTGTAGCCACCTTGACTTCGCGTACATCAGCCACAGCACTTCGACTTGTGGACAAGAAGCCGTCGCATCAGCCAACAACTTCTCGTACTCTTCACTACAACATTAATAAGTTTTGATGAAGCCTAATAAAGAAATCGCAAGAGAGGATTAGAAAAAAAGCCATATAGATATAATTTAGTTCTATAAGCTCAAATTTATGAATTTGAAGTAATCAAACGAAGCGAAAATTCTCAAACATAATATCACTCACGTAGTTCCATGCGTTTTTTCGAAATGTGCAGCAGCCAACCAGATTCCTTTTCTTTTCTCCACGTTTTGCAGTGCGTGCGCGTACACAGCACGGGCACATGCAAGTGCTCCTAAAAAGAATGTGGGTGCACAACCAAACTACTTTTCATCACAACCAAGTTTCAAAAGGAGAACTGTATAATCGAAAGAACAACAGAGTTCAGATGTAAAAGTTCGCACCCTGTTTTGCAAAGGAATCAGCGTCCTCAAGCCATGTCGCTTTTTTATCTTCATCCTCGACACCGGCTCCAATCACATGACGTCTTAAACAGAAACTCTTTTGCATAGTAGTAGACTAACATGTTCAGTACGCCGAAAATTTCCAATTTTTCAAAATGGATTAAAAATAATTCATATCAGGACCCACATAATGGCCTGGCAAGTGAGAGTACAACCGGCTCTTTCGGCATCAATCGCATCTTTCATCCAGTGTTCCCTATTCAACTCCACCATATTTGCGGTTAAAGAAGTCAGCGCCTAAAAATGATTCTTTTTAGTTTCATTTGCGACTTTTGGTATAAATATTTCGATCAACTCCATATAATAAAAATTTTCGATTCGCGACATTTTGAGTAGAAATATTTCGATCAACTCCATATAATAAAGAAATTTTCGAGAACGACGATAACTTTGATTTCCCATACCTTTTGCACTATTCGATCAACCATGTCCTTTTGACCACGAGTTTCCTCTAAGCGAGCAGCACAAAGCCAAATTTGACGATCGGTTGGTATGTGTTCGCGAGCCTTGTTGAGAACTTTTCGTGCATTTTCGTACGTCTCGAGGCGAGCCAGAGCTAACCAAAGTTCCGTGCTCGAACTGAACATCGAAGAGGTTGTAAGGCAATAAGAAAGCGTGAGCTAATAAATATGAATCAATAAAGCAGGACTAAAGGAGAAAGAACAAGAAAACGGGCAACAATTCACCTGCAGCACTCCACCGCACGAGTGAGCAAAACACGCGCATCGTCTGGCTCTTCCAGTTCGATGGCAGCTTTCCAAAGTCGAACAGAAGTAGGAATTTGTTCCAAGGCTTTACGGAAGACCTATAAATGAAAAGAATGGGCTTCTTAGAGCTATAAACATACTATCAAGCGCTGACCTTCTTCTTCGCTTTCAAATCAGTTTCGATCTCAGCAGTTTTCATCCACAATCGAACGCTATGCGGCATCGCACGAACAGCGTTCGCTACAATAGCCTTTGCAGTTTCAGGAGGGTGAAGCCTAAAATACATCAAATGAATAAGCGCAGAATAAACCCGTGGCCACTAACACATACCTGACAGCTTCAACCACATGTCTCCGCTTTTCTTGTCTTTTCACCATCCCTCCATAATAAGATGACGAGCGACCTACAAATGTTGCGTGAAATGCTTTGAGAATATAGGTTTCGATATTGTAAACATAACAATACAAGCAATTACTTATATGAATACGTGATGCTTAACTTCATCTAGAACAAAATGGACAAAGCAGAAGGCAAGTCAGAAGTGAATCAGATCATCTAAAGCGCACCTGAAGTTTTCCGACGACTTCTTCAAGACGAGCACTTGCGATCCACGCCGGCGGATGCTTTGGATTCGTTTCACGCACTGATTTCAACAACATTCTTGCCTATGATACAAATGTGCTACTTTCCCTCAATCATATCACACAAAAATTGTCAAAATACCTTCTTGACATCGTTGATGTCTCCTCCGTATTGTGGAATCATCGACTGGAGATCGGTAAGGTAACCCTTGGGATCAACAACAGTCTGGCCCGAGACGGAGTCCGATACCTGAACTATGATCAGCATATGAACATGCCTTTATATAGGAATAATATTGTCATACCTGATTCAGCTTGATGTCCATAATTTTGTTTCTGGCCTGGCCAATTTTTATAAGATCAAGATCATGGCCAGACGATATGCCTGAGTTAATTCCCGTTTTCCAACCACCTAAATGAAAAATTAGCAATAAGACGAGTATCGCTTCTGTTCGCTACGTCTAAATTTTCATGGTGAACAAATTCACAAAGTAACAAACAGCATAGTAGCTCGAGTAGAAAATGTGAAATGTAATTTCAGACAAAATCGCAGTGAAAAAAGGTTGGCCAAAAATTGGCGGAACTTGCGCCTAGAATGCTTATCTACCACTACAAAAACATTAGGTCAAAGAACAGATCAAGAAAAACGCCTAGCACATTTCCTGAATTTGGAGGTGTTATTATAAAGGCCTATGTTCAAAAAAATTGAAAAATGTAAACATAGAAGCCGACGGAGCAAACAACAGTAATCGTACCTAGTGACGACTGCATCCCGCCAAAAGTGCTCTGGAATCCCGAACCGAAAGGTGTTGTCATTCCTGATTGAACGCGACTATCAAGCGTGGAAGTTGTCTCTCCGTAACTCATTGACATAGCAATAAGTGAATCCGGTACAGGTGTGAACCTAGAAAATGCAGTATCAACAAACCAATTCTAAAAACTAATGCCGCTCAGGAGTACAGAACTGTCTAGTGCACTGAGAGTAAAACTTTGCTCGCGCTGAGTGATAGCCCAGCTGCATAAACACAAAAGCAAAAAAAACTATTTGCAGTGGAAATCTTTCAAAAGTACCACATATAAAAGAAAATCCAAGCCCATGGAAAATTATGTAAGCATTATAGAATCATGAAAAGTAAGGACCTGCTAATAGTAAAACTCACTTTTCTGCTCTTGGATTTCGTTTCGTCTTGTTTCTAGAATCTCCTACTTCAGGTATGGCTACCCATTCATCTTCAGTAACCTAAAAGGACTGAATGAGAAAGGAACCATTTCAAGACAGAACTACTCAAAACAACTTTATATAGAAGAAAGTTGCACACAGTTACGATACTCTCCACTTTCAAGATTGGTTTGAGGCCAGGGGATTGCCTCGCTACATCAGATGTTCTACAGAACTTTTACGTATGATGATAGATAGAACTGCACCTCGCTAAGCTGCCTCTTCAGATCAGAAAACTCCTGTTGAATTTTTGGCCTCTCTTTGCGATACTTTTCGATAGCCTCTTTGTACTTTTTCTCTCTGAAATATCCCAAGACTTAGATATTTCAAAAGACCAGGTAAAAGTAATGGCAGAAAAACCTGCCTATAGTCCTTCCTCCGCTCATCTATCCTGGTCTCTACAGCTAAATAGACCTCGTCTGCTTCTTCGTCTTCTTTATCATAAGGATCCTGCGCGAATAAGCTCCCTGCATAGCCTTCAAACTGAAACAGGGTGGTTATGACCAATCATCGAGTGTGGTGAACAATCAAATAGTTACTTCATCGTAATTGTTGTCATTGAGTTGCTCTTCCGGGTCCTCCTTGGTTTCCTCTTTCGCCTTCTTCGATGGCGGTCCCGTCCCTGCTTCTGGCACATCGGTGGCCTCCCTCGCCGGTCCAATATCAGACCGCGTCGTGAAACCGGTCGCACCTTAACAAGATAGCGAAGTCATCGGAACTTATTCTGGACAACTCGTCCTGCATCACTTCCACTGCCTTTAGACATGACCAGAGGTTAAGTTTTAGGTTCAGGGAAAAATCGAATACACATACCTCTTCCCACTCCCGGAACATAGCCTGCCGGAGCAGGCATGCCCATAAAGTGCTTCTTGGTCTTGTTCACGAGAGATCCAGGTATTGTTATAGACATCTTGCTAAACGAGAATAAATAAGAAATACTCTAATACACCTGAACTGTGTAAAAGATCTCATAACATAAGCACCTAATCGAACGAAATAGCAACAACAAGACGAAGGCTAGGTTTTTGGCAGTTGGACTAAATTGCACTATGTTGGGAGAGATGCAGTTACATACGATGTGCCTGAACTCTTCCAAGGAAATTAACAAAGAAATTTCGGAATTATCAAATTGAAGCTCATAGGCTTCGCGCCATTTATGTGGCATTGACCGCAGCAGTCGTCAACACAGTTGAGAAATTCGTATTGTGGTTCCACCCAATTTTGAATCCATTTTCCAATCCTTCGACGGAATTCCTGAGAATTCTTTTGGTAAATATTTTGTTTTGTTGCTGAAAACACACTGTCCATGCATCGGAGTCCATGCATTAGGTCCGTCCAACTATGAACCGTTCGTGTTAGAAGGAGCAGCTGTGTTCGAAAGTAGATTGGTATAATATACTTTATAGAGAGATTAGGGTCTATTCCAGTTAGGGGGGGGGGGGCATCATGGTGCGGTGACTCCCAAAAAGCTACGGTAACTCTGAGCCAGGGGGAGTGTAGCCAGCCTAGGGGGTGGGGGTGAGGGCAGTCACTTGACATGCGTGAGAAGCTGGAATGTTCGAGTTTACATTAGCTCGCCGAGAAACTGCATCATGATGCCCCCCTAACTGGAATAGACCCTCGAGATTTTAAATTGACCCACATCCGAACTTTTCGATAGGAGTAGCTCATCTTCCCTATAGAATTAGCCCAGATGATCTCTCCAGTTAAGGGGCAGGGCAAGTGGCTTGTGTTTGACAGTCTTGCTACAGTTATTCCAATTTTGTTGGCCAATATGGCGGAGAATCCCCGGGAACACAATTTCGCTCAAAACGTTTACACCCCCCCCCCCGGACTCTTCCCTCCCCGAAAAGTGGATTACTTCCTGCAGTTGAATCTGTACGCACCACATGCCTCTACTGAATGAACCCGTGATGTCTCCTGTACTTCACTGAACCCGTTCAATTCTCAGTCCCAACAGGAACGCTGCGTCGAGCAGTCTCCATTAGTCGAGTTATTTTGCTGTTCTCTTGATATTTTTTCTGCATTCCGGCCGATTGAATACTTCTAGGGAAGGCATATTTTCACATCTGAACGATTGTCTCTGTAACCATAACCCAAGTTCTGCTTTGGCATCTGATGGCTTGTTTTGAACCTTCGTTTGGTGGTCGTGCCTTCGTATTGCGTTTCATGTCAGAAGATTTCATTCAAAATTTCGGCGCTATTCAACTACTACAGCCCCAAAATCCCAATATCTTATTTTTGGTCGAAACATTGTTTATAGGAGGTAGCGAAGATGACCTTTGTTTTTAGCCTTAGCACCATCTGGTTTTGTCGATCTGGTGCAACATCATGCAGTCCAATACACTGCTTCGTTTAGGAATGTCTACCAGCGAGCTTAGTTCAATGCTGCTTTAAAGAAGTACCTCGCATATACATCATTTCTTTACGTTCATTCCTTCCCTTCAGTTGCGCGACTTGCTCTCACTGTTTGACAGGTGTCAGAGTCCGCGATCCGTCGCACGATGTGCAGAATCGCAGAAAACGCAAGAGCCCCTTGTGAACATTTGAAACACATCATTATCAAGCAGAAATAGCGGCGGAGTGAAGAGTACCTGGCAGTGTTGATAGGGGCATTTGTGATTCCTGTGATCTGTCGCGCGAATCGCGCGACGGAGCGCGCACTCTGACACCAGCCTTCCAATCACAACACCTGTTTTTACAAAATTCGCCACGAACTTGTCTGTAGGGATTATTTGCTGCCCTTATCAAGAATTTGACATCAATTTTTGATGTCATCGCCATTGTGCGCCAATGTTTGCTCAAGGATTACCAATTAGGCCCAAAATAGAGCCTGCCCAAAACAGATATGTATATCGTCGATTGGCCGTTCTTGAAGTACCCTTGAAGTGATGTTCGAAAAGATTTTTTTTTTCACTCTTTTTATGTAAGGGCGGAAGTGGTGTAGTGGCAAGTGGCACGCTTACCACGCGAGCGGTCCGGGATCAAATCCTGGGTCGTGAGTCGCCCGGGCCAACCAAGCCTTCCATCCCTCCGGGGTCGGTTAATTGGTACCAGACTTGTCTGGGAGGATAAAAAACACTGACTTGTACATCGGCTGGCCCCGCAAGTCATTGTATAGGCCACATCGCATTCAAACGCCACTGCGAATGTACAAATGGAAGTAGAATGCGTGCCGCATCCCAAAAAGGGATTGATCAAACGGCAAATGCTTTATCCTTTTTTACCTTCTGGAGGGTCATACTGGCGGCAGCGTCTGGTCTGGAATTGTAATTGTAGTAGTTGAATAGTACCATCTCATGCAGGTCTTGCTTTAGTACATCTTGTGCTCTCAGTATATACAACCGCATTCGTATGTACACTTGAAGCTTTCAATTTTCCTAATAAAGTCGTGTACATGGCGTATTCTGTCCAAAAGATCGATTAACTCTTGCACTCCGTCTTTTTATCCATGATCACTGTGATGATGGAACTTCATTTGAGCATGGATATCAACAAGTTAAAATTCGCTGTCAGTTGTTCCAGTAATATGAATCGAAGTATGGAGGCACATAGTTTTATGCAGTGAGTGCCTCTTACTGATTGACGTTTTTATGAACTCTTTATGGAAGTTGCTTTCAGAAAGCGAGGTTTCAATATTGAGTCGTATGGGTCCGGAAATCAAGTTAAACTTCCTGGCACAGCAATAGACAAACCAAACTGTTATGAGTTTGGAAAAACGACATACGAATTCATTTATAACGACCTCAAAGCGAAGGATTCAGCATAGTAAGTGGTCTGTGATCCTTGTTAACGGGCTACCTTGGCTCTACCACTTTGTTTAAGTTACACTCAGAATGGACTTTTGAATATGCTGGACCGAAATCGTCGCATAAAGCCGGCTCGCACCAGAAGTTCAACACAAGACAAAGCCATTCGCCATGTCATTATTTGTCTGTGAAGAGAGAGTTTATGATCAGGTAGGTTAGCTTTGCAGTATTCCTTCATTCATTATTGGGCGATCTTCAAGCCATGTGTATCTTTCGTCATTTTACTGAAAGGGAAGGAGGGTCATGGGTAGGGGAAGCATTACGCTCGCCTGCGATTCGAGCGATACGAGCGATGTGCCAGCGAAACGCAAGTGATCGCTGGTGTATCGCTTCGAATCGCCAAGTTGCCCACAACTCTTCGATCGCGTGTTCCGCTAAGTGATTGAATCGCAGAGCCTGAAACCAATTCCAAGCCGCAGACGGTGTCCCCATAGTAGCTTGCCACTCGGTCGTGAGCCTGGGTTAAATTCAAATGGTTACGACATCTACCGGAGTGGACCATGCGGTTTTGTTTACGGAAGCGACCGCGGACCGCCTCCCATATACTTTCTTATCTTTTGAATGCAAGCTGTTGATTGCGCCGGGTCACGACACCATCTGCACCACACACGCACGCGATGATACGTCTGAGCGCGACCAAAACAGCACTACAGAGAAAGATTCCGTCTGTTCGAATGGACTTGCGTTAAAAGGGGTTCTTCCCCTTGAATGTGATTGCGTACCAGGAAAAGTACAGGACGACTTTCCTTTCGCGATTTACCCTATCTGACTCTTGGAGTTGCGATCTGTGCTCCGCTATTGGTCGGCTTGAGTTATTACGGGTGGGATACCCTTCGTGAAAGAGGTCTATGGCATGAAAATGCTCATCTCTGGTTTTCAGGTAGTTGATCATCTTCATACTCGGCCAACAACAAGCGGTAATCCGGCTCATGTCATTAATATCGACATTGAAGATAACCCAGAGGAAGCAACCATAGGAGCTTGGCTAGTTTGTGAATTATGCGGAAAGGTATTTTTTTTGTGTTTTTCCAAAATATACGTGAATAATAATCGGCGCTATGTGCCTCAAGGGTGGGAAAGCAGTCTGATATAATACATTGCAACACGGCTACAGTAACAACCAGGGTTGAGCCAAAAATTAGGGGGAGGGGGGGGGGAGGTGTCATTTCTCTGGCCTTGCTTCCACTCATGTTGTTAGGCTTAAGAGTTTACTCCCTAGGAATGTTTGACCGCAACCCTGATAACAACCTTCTCCCCACCCCGCCAAACGCACTCTGTTATGGTAATTATTTCTCTATTTTCCCATTGGTCTCATTCTTATAAAAGGAATATATTAGGTCGGTCCATAATTTTTGAGAACCTTTGGTGTTTTTCGATTTAATTACTTATCTTATTTCTCTGATGTATTTATTCAGCATAGTATACATCACCATTATTACCAACATATAACCAATGCGAGGGTGGGTATTCAGTGTCTCTCTTGTAGAATTTCATAGAGTTCTGATCGAAGAAATATTGGATGTCGATTTTGACTTTATGGTGATTCAAGTGAGATTTCTTCTCCAGAAGGTGATTGAGAGAGGAGAGCGGATAGTCGTTCGTTGACGCAGGATTAGTGCTATAAGGCGGAGCTAAAAGAACTGACCGCCCGAGAGTCTCCAATTTTTTAGGAATTTTCTTAGCAAGGCGGGCTCGAACGACCTCAAAAATAGATTTTGTCTTCCTTTGCTTTCAAGTTGAAGGCGTTGCCATCAAGCTGTCAACGATTCTTCCCATCACTGACACTGGTATTAGTTGATGCCGGTCTTCAGCGCAAAGGCCCTCCCGTATTGCGCCAACGACTCAGGAAGTTCGAATTCAGAGGGAGTTGGGTTTGTACTGTCAGAACTCCCGAATCGTTTGAGCAAATCTACTGCGGCTCGTGGATTTGTTAGCACACTGCACCCAGTCCACATCACCAATGAGTATTATAGATGGTCATCCGAAGGAACTATAGGAAACCAACAGGAACTTGATGATGTCAGATTGGGTTGAGAACTGATTCGGGACTACAATTTTCCTTCGATCAGAACTCTATGAAAGTCCACAAGAGAGGCACTGAATACCCACCCTCGCATTGGCGATATGTTGTTAATAATAATGATGTATACTATGCTGGATAAGTAGATCAGAGAAATAAGATAAGTAATAAATCGAAAAACACCAAAGGTTCTCAAAAATTGTGGACCGACCTAATATAGCCCTTCGGTGCATAAGTCTTGCAACACTGGCCAAATTTTGAATTTAATATTTTCATTATCTTTTTGTTCCATTCATCCGGCATGCTACCCTCCATCAATATCTACAACCTATTGCCAACACACTAGTAGCTGCTCGATGCCTCCCTTGTAGGACTCTACTGAATTCTGATCGAAGAAAGATCAGATGTCGATTTTGACATCATCATAGTTAGGATGAGCTTTCTTCTCTAGGAGATGGTTTGGAGAGGGGAGCAGAAGGGCATTATTTGCCTCGAGGTCAGGGCTATAACGTGAATACGGAAGAACTCTCCGTCCCAGAGTCTCGAAATTTTCCTGAATTTTCTTAGCAAGAGGTTTTCACAAAAGCAAACTTTGCCTTGTTTTTCTTTCGTATTAAAAGCGTTGCATTCGAGCTGTGGATAGTTGACTTTCGCGTTGACTGCGACATCTACACGGAGGGGTTTCCAGAGCTTAACTCCTCCCGTGTTCCACCAAAAATCCGAGAAGGCCCTACTTGGACGAGGTTGAACTTAAGCAATAAGATCTCCCGAAGCGTTTGAGCTGGACTACCGCCGCTTGTTCATTTGTTAGTAAACTGTACCCACTCCTCATCTTCGGCAAATGTGATGGATGGTCAATCGTAGAATCCCTAGTAAGTCGACTTGAACATAACGGTGTCAGATCGTGTTTGGAGCTGAATCGGGCTCAAGGCACGTGGGGACCAAACTCTACATTTTCGGATCTTCACAAGTCTTTGGAGATGCCACAGTGCTGTCTCCTTGTCGCATCGGAATCGCTCTAGCAAATGATCGATACTCTATCCAGATCCCTTTTCAACGCCGTCAGATATAGCATCGTGATTGTCAGTCACAGGGTGGTTGGAGTGTGGGTTATTTTCAAAAAAAAAAGTCAACGCTGAGCAGAGTGAAGCGCCGTTGCACTGTGGTTTGAGAGAGCTTGCCCTCGCCTATCTTCTGGCCAATCCTTGGTCTAGCATGACTTGCGGAACATTCCAAGCAGTACTCGTAAAAATTAAGGGCACCGAGAGCCCTCTCGCGAAATCGGTGTAATATCCATAATAAGTAAGCAGACAACGAGCTGGACCGTTGGCTGAAATTGCAAAGGTTGATGCTACGTCAGGAAATATGTTGCGGATTTTCAGGAGTTCTCCCTAAAATTCTATAGCATTAAATGTAGTTTGTTGCAAGACTTATGGACCGACCTAATATTTATAGTTTCGAGGTTATAGTTCCTAGTTGATTAAGAAGTTTGGGTAGGATTCACATTGGAAAGTAATCGTTACTGAAAATACTGTGCGATTTTGAGATAATAGTGATCACTGTATAGGAGCTTATCGTCTGATTATTCATACTTTAGTTGGATGAATGTGACGATCTGGACAATGAAATCGACGAAATCTTGGCAGATTTCGAGGCAAAAAATCAGAAACGGAATATACTGCACACCATTTGTTTCTATTGAATGGATGTTTTTCCTGTGTTGTACAAATTGAAGCCAATTGTTCCGTGAGCCTCATTTGAAACTGTGACAAATCTCTCGGAACATCGTGTCTAGGTGGACTACGAGGGTTCATTCTCGTTGTCGTGCATTGTATTTCTTACCTCTAACTATGATTTATTCCAAATACTGTATTAAAATTTTCTTGCTCGCTCCCATTGCCATCGTCATCTCCATATTTATGACTTCTTTGCTTAGAAATCCATTGCTTAATGCGTTTGCTATAATGCATATTCGCATTTTCAAAAAAATGTGACCTAATGACAAATGACACAATGTCGAAAACGGAATCAAATGTTTCGCCCACATTTTTTCTTCACTTTCATTTATATCCAGGATGGGCAAACTAAAGGTAACAAATAAAGCGCTTCATGCGAACTTATAGGCTCACCCGACTACAGGTGCAACCGAATGCTCCAAGGTACGGGGCAGCGCCGGAAATCGACATGACAAACAATCTACCTCCATAACTGAGCAGGAGAGAAAGACGGCATGGGAGTGTAAAAAGACATCGAGGAAGTAGTGAATAAGACGGATAACACCCGTCTCCTTGCTCATCTCTTCGATTTTGCAGTCCTTCCTGCCTTAAGCTGCTAACCTACGCTTCAGAGACTTCGACTAAGTGCAGGCAGAACGCAGTCAGTCCAGCGCGCTGTCGAGAGGACGATGCTTGAAGTAACTCTATACTTGCAAGTGCAGAGGGGAGTCCGAAGTTCCCCATCACGTCATCGTCAACAGGAAAAATTTTTCCAAAGGGACGCTGTCATTTTCGCCAAGGATCGACCAAGATACAGGTGGCCGGGCACGTCCGTGCTCCTTGTGATGAAAAAACAAAGCGGGTTGACTAGAAGCGGTACCACGATCCCTCGGGACCAAATCCTCTAGCACGCGACAGGGACGAATGGAGACGTTGCTGAGCGCCCGCTTGAGCAAATCATGATCAATGGGGCGGCATGTGACACTCCATATAATGAACACAACTGTGAATCCACCAGGTAGCGGTGGCCAGGCCTTAAAAGCGTGCCTAATGGTTTGGAGGGGGTTGAAGGATGGGTGCTCACTGCTAAAAAAGAAACGCGATAGAGCCGAGACATTCGTCAGAACGCCAAAGGGCCCCTCCCTCACCAACAAGCGTTGTTTCGCCTAAGGAATGCAGCGGCAAAAGCGATAGAGGTATGGACAAGCTTAACGTAACGCATTTGGTGGCACCATGCCATTCAATGCTCCAGTTGAGCTGCGGCAATTGTGCCACTGCTGGCATCACTTCTGCTTCATCTCTTGATCGTAATCGTAAGTTACATAGTGGGTGGAGCGCTTAGGGAGTGGCGATTTTCAAGTACTACTCAGCGACCAGCACACTTCGTCGTGAAAACGCCACACCTCGCTTCCTTTGCATCCGAGCTACTGCTCTACATGGCACATAGTATTCGATGCGTTCCCCCTCTTGATCGTGGTACATACATGGAATCTCCTTAAGGTTGGAGGAGGGGGCTTCAACCTCCGAGAGAATTCGTGATTGGATTCGAAATACTTCCAAATTCTTTTAGGCACCATTTAAAATAGAGTCATACGAAAACTTTGCAAAACTGCTCTATTTTGGTTGAGCGACGTATCTTCTCTGCGGTACTTTTTCTGTCCCTCCTGGTGGTGGGTCGCACAGCGAACGGTCGTCCATATACAGCTGAGAAAAAGAATGTTTAACAATATTCATTGAAAAAATTATCGATGCTGTTGTTGTAGAAATCAAGAAAGGGGCGAATTGGCTGGAGTGTCTCTGGTTTGCATAACCATCTGTCACATTGAATACGTAGCTGTCTTCGTCGACTATCTCTGAGTGGTAGCTCTTACAAAAGTGCTTGCTATGGCTTCCATGGTACATCATCATCATTGGGCCTCTGCTACAACAGCTCAGTTAAGGTTACCTCCTGTAAATGAGTGTTCACCATTAAGTACTGACTGTTTATTGCCATGGCATGCTGTAGTACCACTCTTTTTGAAGGCATGCCCCAGGATCACATTGGTGTGGCTCTTGTACACGAATGCGAATGTATTGGTGGAAGTGGGCCGGCAGTAAAGAAAAAAGGAAAGAATCCGTCAAAAACGCTTAGGTTAAGGGCTCACTCACCTTCCTAATCGGCTGTGCTAAGGGAATGAGAGACTAAGCGCGGAGAGGAGAGTATGGGCGAGAGAGCGCTACAGATGAGAGATCGCCAGACAACAGCCTGATAAGAGAAAAAAGTCTGCAGCTTGGGCAGCTTACTTTGCAAGGCCAAGCGCTCTTATCGGTCGGTTTCCGTGCACGAGAACGCCACATTTGTGATTGTCCTCTAGGGTCTATACTACAGACCGAAGAGAAGCGTTCACAAGCCGACGCCTCTGGCCTGGTTGTGCTTTTAAGCGGGGTTTATGATTAGAAGGCAAGCCCATTAGGATAACATGGCCGAGATGAAGAAAAGGATAGAATAGTCCCGTACTCGAGAAATGGAACCGCTTCCTTACCCGTCGATCTCCGCATTGATGCGACTCTCTCAGCGATGCAGCCCACTTCAACGCTAACGCTCTCTCTGCTAAACGGCCAGAGACCCACGCGAGTGTTACCGCGTCGGAGGGGCACGGCGATAGCGCGCACGGACGCTTTCTAATCCTGGCGAATCCTCCGCTGCGAACAGGATCTCACAGCAGAATATCACTTAGATGCCCCTCTACGAATAGAAGCAGTCCCTTCTTTAAGACCTTCACCTTCTTCAGAATATGACGTCATCTGCCGCCGACGTCTAGCTCAAGAAGACTTATCGTAATTGCTTCAGCTGGTACTGATTCCTTGGATAGATTTACTGCTGATGGTCTTTCAGGGACCATTGCTCTAATTGTACCTGCTCCCAATCAGCTTTAGTCGTAGTGTCTACGATCCGTCGAGGACCCCTTAAAGGAATCTTGCGCGGAAAATTCTTGCACTCTTTCCTAACATGAATATGTCAGTTGTGATCACTGGAAATAGCACACAAAGTTTCACGCATGAAGATTCGGTTTCTGAAGAGAAACAAACGTACAAAAACTACACGTTATGGACCATCGAAGGACCAGGAGGCAGAGCCAGGCGAGGCATGGAAAGAAGACGGCGTTTGGCCGGCTACGTACCAGGCGACGCAATGAGAGA